GGGGGGGTTTTTTTTTTTTTTTTTTTTTAGTTGAAAACCAAGTCAGTTAGCAGCCACCTTCCCTAGCCAGGGTTGGTGGTTCTGACTGACTCTTCCCCAGCTCCTTACCTGCCAACAAGAAGGCTTCTGTGTAGGTAGAAAGCAGCCTGTCCCTTCTTCTCTTTTCTGCCACTCATACAAAGTGAAGCTCAAGCTCTAGGTTGGTGGAGAGTGCCCTGGGAAAGCTGTGAGGCTTAAAGTTACCAGGACAGTGGTCCGTCTCCTGGAGTGTACGCTGCAAGCCTAGTGGAAAGTCTGCTGGGAGCAGATGCAGCTTCTGCCTCCCATGTCCATGACTACCTCCATCTTGCCCTTAGGTCAAGGTCCAGTTCGACCTCCAGCTCGGGCTCCAGTACTAGCACAGGCTCCAGCAGTGGCTCCAGCTCCTCCTCGGCATCCAGCCGCTCAGGAAGTTCCAGCACATCCCGTAGCTCCAGCTCCAGCAGCTCCTCTGGCTCTCCAAGCCCTTCTCGGCGCAGACATGACAACAGGCGGCGCTCCCGATCCAAGTAAGTGCCCACTCACGACGTGCAGGGACTTGCATTCTCATCCTTGGGCCTCCATTTACTGTGTTATCACAGAGCGGTCCCAGAGGACTCTGCCTCAGACGGGGGTGAGGGGTACAAATGAACTGGTAGGAACCACTTCGTGTAGGAACTGTCGTATCATGAGAGAGGGATCTACTGCGTACTGACTTGACAGAAATCGACTGTTTCTGGTGGGCGTTTTGTTTTTTTAATCAGATCCAAGCCACCTAAAAGAGATGAGAAGGAGAGGAAAAGACGAAGTCCTTCCCCTAAACCCACCAAAGTACATATTGGGAGGCTCACCAGGAATGTGACCAAGGTGAGGGTCTTGGGTAAGCCAGCAGGCGAGCTTAAAGGACATGGCCTTTCTGTGTACTGTCACATGTGTGTCCGGGAGATTGATCCCAGAAAGACAGTGGTTCTCAGCAGATGGTAAAGCCATTTAACTCTTAGTCATGGTGTGGTGAATTCTCTTATCACCACTACTAGGCAAGCCCTAGAGTGACCTTCTTTTCTGCAGGATCACATCATGGAGATATTTTCCACCTATGGGAAAATTAAAATGATTGACATGCCCGTAGAAAGGATGCACCCCCATCTGTCCAAGGGCTATGCCTACGTGGAGTTTGAGAATCCAGATGAAGCTGAGAAGGCACTGAAGCACATGGATGGAGGTGGGTGACCCTGCCAGCATCCCTGACTTCCCACCTCTTCTCCCTGGAGCTCTTTCAAGATCCAGTGCTTTCTCTTTCGTGTTTTACCAAAAACATGCTTTATGGAGCACTATTCTTGAAAACATATTCAGCAAATGAATATATTAGCATTTTAAGAAGTTTTCAATCTGTTAAAGGCTGAAGGATAAAATGAAGGTTTTTGTTTTAAGAATTATTCTATTTAATTTTATTTATTCATTCTTTTACTTTTAATTTGACCAGAGAGAGTAAGAGAGGGAAAGTGAGAAAGCAAGCCACCAGGTCTGGGGCTCGAACCATGGTCGGCCATGTGGGACCGTCCAGCGCTTTAACCACCCTGCCACCTGCTGGTCTCCAATGAAGATTTCTTACAAAGCATGTGTTTGGGTTTTGTGTTGTTTTTGTGTGTGCATGTGTGTTTTTAATTATTTATTTAATTTTATTTATTCATTCATTTATTTTAATTTGAGCAGAGAGCAATACACAGAGAGAGAGAGGGGGGGGGGGAAATGAGAAAGCGAGCTACCAGGTCTGATATTCGAACCACAGTCGGCCATGTAGGAGTGTCCAGCACCTTAGCCACCCCACCACCTGCTGGTCCCCTTGTGTGTGGGGTTTTTTTGTTTGGTTGGTTGTTTTGGGGGGATTTTTAGAATTATTTATTTAACTTTATGTATTCATTCATTTTTAATTTGACCAGGGAGAGAAGGTGAGAAAGCAAGTCACCAGGTGTGGGACTCAAACCATGTTGGCCATGTGGGAATGTCCAGCTTCTTATCCACCGCACCACCTGCTGGTTCCTATATTTGGGTTTTTTAAGAGAGATTTTTGCTATAGGGCTGTGTGCTTGCCAGAGAAACAAAGCGAGAAATCACCCCCCAGGGAGGGTGGCCGTGCTGCAATCCCTTCTCCATTCTCCTCTTGGGATCGAGGATGCGCTTGTGCCCAGCATGAGTTGCCAGGTCCAGGGCTTGAACCATGGAATCTAGTGACATAACCATCACACCATCTGCTGGTCCACGTATTTGTTTTCTTTATATGAGTATATTGTCTTCAGTTCTTACCAAGAGTCTTTTTCCAGTTTGCCAATATTTGGGCTTTTTAAGGATTATTTTTGATGAATGAGATTTACCAAATTCACAGATTAAAAAAGAAATAAAAAATTATATTACTTAACTTTATTCATTTATTTAATTTGACCAAAGAAGGGCAGGACAAGAGAGAATGAAAGCAAGAAAATAAGTCACCAGGTCCAGAACTCAAACCAGGATCATTAGTGTTGGAGTCTAGTGCCCTTAACACCCCCCCCTTTTGCCCTTTTTTTTTTTTAAGAGGCTTTTGCCTTAGGGTGCATGCTCTTGCTGGGGAGAGACACAAACTGAAGCAGTGAGAGAGAAAGTGAGAAATCCCCCACTGGGTATGGCCATGCTGCAATCCATTCTCTTCCTGAGATCTTAGGCGCACACATACATGTGCCTGGCTTTATTTTCAAGCCACCAGGTCCAGGACTTGAGCTGTGGTTGGCCATGTG